AAGTAATGACTTAAAATGTAAAAATAATTTGCATTGCCAGTTATGTCAGTATGGGTGGGCTTTAGAAAATGTTCCTGAATGTAAGCAGGAACATCTGTGGTGCAGCTGGTAGTTTGTGTATTGACACAGGTAGCACACTTTTATCTGCTTGCATAGATATAGCCTCAGGAATATGGTGTAGCATGTGGAGCACAAATCAGCGAGATCAGAAATATTCCACTGGGTTTTTGAGCATTTTTCCCTGTTAACTTGGTAAGAGATATAATGAGGTTGTAGCTGCAATTGTTCTTTTTATGTTACAGTTTTGTCATGCCCTGCATTGAGATGTATGACTGTAATACGAGCATACAATGCCACACAGTGCTGTTCTCCTTATTGCATTTGCAACTTTATTTTTCAATCAGTCTACAAGTATTTACATAAAAACAAAATATGTCCTTATCATCAAGACTTTTACTGAGAAACTGTGATGAAATAAAGCTTTTCAACACCCTTTTTAATATTAAATATTTATTAGTTGTTTTAAAAAATCTATCTCGACTTTAGTGAGTATCTTGCAATCATTTTTTTCTCTCTCAAAGATAATATTCAACACTATTGTTGGATTTTAAAATCTCCAACTGATCATATTTTTTTCCCCCAAGTTCACAGCAGGCGACTCTCATACTACTGATTTCTTTTTGTTCAGATACTAGGGCACAATTTCCTTTTTCTGAATATCATGTATCCTTTAATAGGTTATAAGCATACCATTGTAAGTTGTGCTGTGTTAGGACATAATTTTGACTGTGGACAGCTATTTTAAGCACAATTTTCTGTCAACTGAATTTCTGAGCATTGCTGTTAGAAGTCTTGTGTGTAGATGATAGTAAGTATTTGGCTCTAGGTTTTGCGAATATGGCTTGGGAATGTTTTTGATTAACAGCAAATTTCAAACAATTAATATCTGTAAAAACTGCATTTGAATAGGTCTGGAGGACCCACAAAAGTTCAATATTGAACACGGGAAAGAAAATATTTCAATATCTTGGAATCTGAACATTGACACTTTTGTAGTAGACAATATGATCTCTGCCTAACCCATGCCTGGGAGCATTCACTAGCAGTAAAGTCAAAACTATTATAGGTTATCACCTCAGCATTTAGAAAACTTAATAATGGATTCAAAATTATTGATTTTTTTTCCCTCTGCATAGTGATTGTTATGATACAGGTGAATGACAAATTTCAATTGTTGAAAGTGACCAAACAGTAGAAACTTGTCTCAACTACTTCCAGTATATACAGGAATAATAAGTTCTGTCTTTATCCAGTGATTTTTAATGTCTGATTTCTTTTTGTCTTGCTACTACCGGAAGGCGCGCCTTGCTACAGTAGGTGGACAAATAGTGCATCTCCAGAAATGTAAGCTTTCTTTTGAACAAGAATTAATGCAGAAGTGCCTTTCCATGAGTAGTTTTTGTTTAACCTTCTGTGTGTTTAATTATATTCAGTTCTTTAGAAGCATATTTGAAACAATACATGTGAGTAAATACGTAATTTGTTTCAAATATAGTTTATTGTCAAAAGCACAAAACAATAGTATGTATGTCTATGATGTAATGGTTCAAAACATTTTAGAATAAGTCTTAAGACCAGTATGGTTTGTGGATTTTCTGTGTGTTCCCTTTTTCTGGAAACATAGGTGGCCAATGTCACTAAGTCATGTCCTGGCTGTTTGGGCAGCTATATCAAATACTGTCTTCAGAAGCAGATCAAATTCCTGCTTATGACTGGTTATAGTTTCCTGCTTTCGCAGGTTTTAATGTCTAATAGTAGGAAATTAATGGCTTATTTATTATTATTATTGTACTTACTTTGTCAGTTAATCTTGACTTCTGGCTTTTCTTGCAAGTGAATAACTATATGCTTTATAGCCTTTATCATATGGAGCTAAGGAAGTTCGGTTTTTCCACAGTTGTGGTCAAAGCTGCATGCTAACGTGCAGCAGTTTGCAGCCATGTAGTTCCGAATTCACATGCAAGGTGCACTGTTTTTTTTTTAACCACTCACCTCAACACTGACAGGTTGAAAATTAACTTCTCTGGTTTCACCACTATAGCATAGGATTTGAGGGAGGTGAGGTTACAATCCCAAGTCAAGGCAGTGGAATGGTACCAAAACACCAATGCATGTGAGTTTTGAATCAGTGTGTGAGGCAGTATAGAGTGCTTAAGTTTGGTTTTAACAGAAATTAGGTTCTGTTGTCTTAAAATAAAAAACTGAGGAATTAATAAGACTTTTTATCTTGACAGTGCCTAACTAATTGTACACTTTGATTTAAAGAGAATTCATCTTTTGCTCTGATAAGAATGCCATGAGCAGCATGTATAACTCAAGTAATACAGTGGTTAATTATTTACGTGCACATTTACCGAAGTGAAATCCAGGGCTGTAAGTAAATATGTATGCTTTCTAAGCTAGGCCTAGCAAAGTTCAGTGTTTCTGAATGAACTTTGCAACAGCCAATATGGTAAGCAGGGATTTGTCTACATCCACATATGCTAATACTGGACTTGCACTTAAGCATAGCAATGCTCTGTGGAGAAGTTCCTCCTTCCTCCTTGACTGAAGAATGTAAGCAGTAAAGATGCCACCTGATTTAGAAAGCAGCTGAAATAACAACTTTGAGATGATAATACTGTATTTAGATAAAATGTGTGCACATACTATTTTTTTAAATTTACTCTAACTGCTCAATATTATTTGTAACATGTCTGAGACCAAAGTGTCCTCATTATTAAGGAATGCTGCTAATCACTAGCATGAGACTTTGTGATTTTTCTACTGAATCTTGACATTATCATTGCAAAGGAGTTAAAACAAAAACTACACACATAAATGAAACACTGTTAAATGCACTTTTCTAATGCCATTTTTAATTGTTGCAGGACCCTTCAGAGTAAAGGGAAAGGCCAGTCATTTAAGTGTTGCACTTATTAGTCGATGCCTAGAAATTCACAACTGCTGTTGTTTTACAAGGGAAAAAAAAGGCACAGCTGTCTTCAGCTTTACTCTGTCCTATCCCTACTTAACAATTCCAGACTGTAGGCAGCAATCTGTGGGACATGCTGAAAACCTCAATTAGTTACTGAGTTTCAAAGTGGTTAAAGAGTTTGGATAGATCCCATGAGCTACTACTTTTGAATAGCTAGCTTGCAGCAGTTCCCTGCTTAGGCAGCAGTTGTGTCTCTCTCTAAAGCACCTCTACTCTGCCCTGTGTACACTATGAGAAACTGGGAGATTTTACTACTGGATTTTACGTTGAGGCCTCAGTTAATTAGAGTTCCCCATGTTTGTTATACTGTCTGATTCACCACACCTAATTCATCCTCACATTGTGGGGTGAAGGCTGCTGAAGCATAAAGTAGTTAAAATTTGGTTGGTGGTACATTTGAGAAGCTTGCTTTCAGTGCCTAATTTCCTTTAGACTTTTTTAAAATCCAACATCTATGCTTCATTTCTGATGATGATACGACAATGTGTTTTCTTATACTTAAAAGTGTTGATTTTTAAAAACCAACTATTTCTCCTGTTGCCCCTTCCTGAATGTAAGCAGGAACGTCTGTGGTGCAGCTGGTAGTTTGTGTATTGACACAGGTAGCACACTTTTATCTGCTTGCAAATATGTGTTCAGAATCAATAATCATAAACATTTAAATAGAATGGGATATTTAAGAGTGCACATAGAAGGGATATTTTTATTATATATGACGGGTTTATTACATATAATTATAAAGATATGTTCATTACCAGTCATTGGCCTCCTGTGATCCAGGAGCCCTGTGCTGCTGCATATTCAAGGTCAAATTATTTTCTATAGTGTAAAAAAAAATATATATTTTTCAGTTAAGTGACAAATTAGTCTTAAAAAAATTTAATTAAGAATTGCTTATCTGATTTAGAAGATGATGGAAAGGAGGTATTTATTTTCTTCCCACCTCCCAAAAGGTGATCATACTTACAAAATTCGCTGAGATTGTCCAAGAAAGTGTGTAAAATCCTCATCCATCACCAAGAGCCCCTGGTCAGGGAATGACAGTGCAGTAAATATCTTCAGCAGCTGCCTTTTAATGTACAAGCTGTTTTCGGTAGGAATTTTCAGCACTCACATAAAACACACTGTCATGAGTGACTGCCTGTGCTCCAAAGTCATTACTATTGGGATGATGGAACATCTTTCAGCGAATAACCAAAAAACTTTAAATGTCATGTCAAGTGTGTTGAAGGCATTTTGAAGCCTTGCTCAAGGTTACATGAATATTGAGTAGGCCTGTTTTTAAAAAGTTTGAGATCTATGAGAGAAACCACTCATATGCTGGTTTGGAAAACAGTCACTTGATCTGGAAGGGGGTTGGGGAGTGACAGAAAAAGAAATCTGTCTATTAATATATGCCAAACTGCAAAACTCCTGCCTGGATGTTAACTGAGTGCAACTTTGTGTGACAGGCAATGCCAGTGATGTTTAGCAAAAAATAGTGAATTATGCAATTTCTTGAAATTACTTAGCTGCCTAAAAGTTCACTAAGGAAAGAAAAGTTATAACAATGGATAATTAAATTAAAATATATTTTAAAATACATTTTAAAATTTGGACAATTAAAAAGTATGTAGGAAATGTAATTAATGAGGTAAAACCTTGTAAGACACTGAGAGGTGCTAGGTATCTCTTTGACTCCAGTAGGAAAGGAGGATCCTGTCATGCTATATCCATGATTTTCTAAGAAATATGGATGTTAATTTAATGAAGACAAGTAAAACCTGCATCACTTCCAAGGGACCCAGTCCACTGCTTTTGAAGTGATAATATATTTTGTCTTGGCTCCTTGGCATTCATGACTCCTTGTAGTACATCATCTGCATGTAAAATTTTTCTGATCAAGAGGTCTTTTTATGTTACAGAATATTGAAACTGAGTATTTTAATAGTGAAACAAGGTTTGTTTGATTTGTCTTCTGCAGAGAACCAGAAAGGACAGCCAGAGAAGCCGTGTTCACACCACAGTATCAGTTTAAACTCGACAAGAAGCCCAGTCACCAAAGAAGTTACATATGATGTGGAAACAAGTTCTAAGGCGTTGAGCAGGGCTGTTGGGAGAAAGGAAGCCTGTCATGGAGAAGGTGGCAAAGAAAAGAAAATGGATCGTATTGGGTCCCCTCCTAAGGGAGAAGCCATTCCAGAAGTAGAAGCTCTCTTGGCGAGACTGCGAGCACTATAGAATAATCATATAACAGATTAAATAAAAGTTAAAAATAATAGCCTACACTACATCTTTAAAGAAATAATAATTTTCTATTTTTGATGTTACATATTTCTGACTTTCTAACTTCTCTGTGGATGAATGATCTGTTTCTAAACTTTATTTGCAAGACTATACAAACAATACTATAGTTTTGCATAACTGCAAGATTAGTTTTTAATATATGTTTTTACTTAATAAGCCTATGAAAAGTATCAGAAGAAGATAAATACTAAATTGTTCCAAAGCACAATCCTTTTAGTGGACAGGCTGCTAACCATCTGTTTGGAGTGCTTCTGAAAATCGGAATATCTTTTAAGTATTGTTGAATCATCATGCCTGAGAATAGGGTCAATAAATAACAGAAAAGGTATTCTTATATTTTCTACTGTAATTTTTATATTTAAGAGGCTAAAGCACCAAATATGGATCATGATAATGTCCTTTACAATTACAGTAATATACAGTATCAGCCATATTCCAGTTTGAGCTCATCAAAGAGCATCAAAGCTCTTTATAGAAGAGAATACATCTACATTATAGATATATTTACTAAATGGTAATCCATGGGCAATAAACAAAAAATATGCAAATAATGTATTTTATGTGTAATTAATATATCCCTGCTTTTAAGGTTATTATGATTATTATATCAAAATAATATATACAAGTGCTTTGATTGCAATGTTTTGCAATTGTGTCTTTAGCTGGGGAAAATGTCTTCACAGTTATTTACCAGTGTAATATTTTATCTTTTCACATGCGAATTAATATGTTTCTATAAAAGGAACATGTAATGGAGAAGATTTTTCAATTGGTTTTTCACAAACTCATTTTCCAGTAGCCCATAAAGTTTTACTTGCTGGCACAACAGGAGTTTTGCAAGTGATTGCATCTCTTTTATCCCACTGTCACTGTACAGGGTTGCGTGTTTGCTATCATATTTATTAATTGCACATCAGAAAGAGTTACTACCAATGTTACTAAGTAGGGAGCTATTGTTAGTCTCTTTGCTCCGTTATTTAAAGCTTCCTTAATATAAGAGTGTATTAGGAATCTAATATCTTTCATCTAAATTACTTTATTTTTCTTTACAAGATGCTGAAAAATATGTCTTTCAATAAGAGTCAGTTACATGAAACCAGTGTTTCAATGCTCCAGTGCTTTTTATATCCTTGTTTAAGTTGCCTTTGTACTCCTGCACTAAACATTAATAAAGTTAATTAGAACTCGAAAACTGGGCCTGATTGCACACACGGAGTAGGGGGGTTTTCAGCCATCATGGGAATCAATCTCCTGTTTCTGGGACTGTTGTAGCTGTCATTATACACTAATTACATTTCCCTCCTTTGCTGAAAAGAGAGGTATAAACACAAATCAGGGAAGGATTCAGAGCAGGCCTGTCAGACAGACATCTCTTCAGCTCCCCTTGCAAACAATGGGCACAGCTGTCATACAGAGACACCTTTGGTAACTTGAAATATATCTTGAATGTATAACTCGAAATACAGTGACTGATAGTTGTTCCACTAAGGTCTTCTGCACCTCCAGTATTAAGACTTACTACCCATATTTACAGGGTGCAGTAAAAATTACTATCTAAAAAGTCCAATATGATTGACTACATAAAATGACATTTCAAACACAAAGAAAATGCCTGTTCAAGGGGAATAAAAGTTAGCAGTAAACTGGATCTCCTCAGTTGCTGGGGATATACTAAAATAAAAGGGCTAAAAGTAGAGAGCCGTCTCTTAAATATTATGATGTTCCTCCTATGCTTGGAGGTGGTGTGTAGATGAAAGTACAAATTATTTTCATGAACACTGTAAACTTGTTCATTTGAATTAATGGGTGAAACTCCACCTCAGAAAACTGACTGGACACTACTGCATAGCTGATCAAGCAAAAAAAAGTTACAAAACTATCTACTGAATTTTGCAATTAATAAAATGCTGCTAGAAGCCTAGCATCTCCTGATTTTAAAATAAATATTTAAGTTACAGAATTTAAGCTACTTTTTTTACAGTTTGGGAAGCTTTTAGAAAAGTATTCCAGGGCTTTTATTCCTTTTAAGGTATTGTGTTTCTGAATTAATCCTTTCAAGCAGTCATCAAGTTAATTTGCAGATACAAACACGGCAAATAAAAAGCTGTGCAACTTAGAATACATGTAAATACAGTATCCAGTTTATTTCCTCCTTCTGTGCTTCTTTGTACCATCATAACTTAATCCACTCAAAGTACATGGTCCAGTTGAAGTACACAGTAGGTTTGCTTTCTACATTTTAATTTTCTTCAATTTCCATTGGACACAAACTCGTACACAGGATGTTTTTGATATGCAAAATGCTAGTATTGCCTATGAGTTCAGAGAAGAAAAAACTTTGAAAGTATTACAGCTGTATTGATTTCTATGATTTTAGTTTTTTATTAAAGTATAAAACTCAGCTTATAAATTATATAAAGTAAATTGTTTTAATTAAATTTAAAAATTAATTCATTTATTCAGTTTAAAATTTGAAGTTAATTCAATCTCAGAATACTTAGGGTAGAGCTTTATTGATACGTGCTAGTCATTTTTTAGTTGGTATTGAGTCTGCTCCTATAGCTGAGGGATTGAGCCATGAACCACTTCTGTTAGAAATGGACAAAGGTTTCACATACTGGGCCACACCCTCTCTATAATTAGCATCTGAAATTTAATTCCTTATAAAAAGTGCTTCCTGATTAAGTCAAACACAACTGTTCAGATAAAAGCATTTTAAGTAATCTTCCCTCCCTGAGCAGCAGACAGAAGGCACAAACATCCATGACCTTTCTTGCCAGTACAACTCTAAAGGTCTAACACATCTTTTTGATTCTTCATATACATTTTGGATGATTTTTCATTTCACTCAGTAAAAGAATTTTGATTACTACATCAATTTTTACTTCCTGTAGACATTGTATTGTTTGTGGTGGTGGTCTAAATTCGTATGAAATGTTCTGTTTTGATCTTAGCAAGGCAGGAATGTTTGGAGCAGCCTCTTCAAGCTGCACACAGCCACGCTTGACACTTGGCTCACAGGCTGTAGGTAATACTCCAGTGTGTGTAAGCCCAGAAGGAAAAGTGGAGGAATTGCTTTCATTACAAAAAAGTCTAACAGTGCCAGCACCTGGTGGCTGCCATGAGACGTGATAGTGCTCTGGATTAGCCACTTCATTGAAGAAGTATGGACCAGCAACCTGAAAATATTATTTTTAGTTCCCAATTATTATGGGAACACTACTGCTTAGGAGACTGAAAGGACCACATGTAGGAGAAAAAAGTCTCAGATGCAGTTGCTACTAATAGTTTTTCTCCAGCACACAGTTTTCTTTGTTTTCCCCCCTACAACCATTCTTTAGCCTGGCCCATCCAAAGTCACATTCTCCAGAACTGCACGAGTTAATGCTGACCAGCTGCAGGTGTTGCAGCCCTTCAGGCTTTTATAATAAAAGTTGAGAAGGACGACATTTGCTGCTAACACTTTTTCCACATCCATTTCTAATGAGTAGGACCAAATTATAATTTTTACACTAATCTTTCCAGGCCTTACAATACTCAGTAACTATAAAACAAATGGGCAACAAACAGGGGTCAATAAACCCCAAGCTATGGCACCTAAAACATTATAATAAGCAAGCAGGGTCAAGTAAAAGAGCTCAGCAAAAAAGCAATTACATGACAACATTGCTTTCTCCAGAATGAAATAAAGCATTACTATACCATTTTCTAAATTTTTTTTTAATGTGATGTATGGGTTCTACACAACTGAACTGCAGCAGAAAAATAATTCCTCTTGAATGTCTGAGGAACTGTTTGTCTAGTTTATGAAATAAAAAGAATTAGACAAATTGCACTTTATCAATTTTTTAGTCTAATTTTATGCCAAGATTCCTATATCTGAGAAATTCTAAAATTGCCATCTGCTATTAAATTAACTACAGCACCAGTTAATGAACTTGGTTTGCATTTTTTTAACACATGAAGCAAGCATATTTTCTTCCTTTCCAAACACATTTTGTCCATTGCACTATTGTGTATTTTAGCTGAAGTATAATGTTTAGAACAGGGCTCCACACCTCACTGTAAAAACATGTTTGATAAAGCATTCTGGTCACTCTGACAGCAGTGCAAAATAACCAAGAGGTGTTCAGACACAATTTTTCTCTCCCTCCCAGCTGCAGAGATAGCCATTAAGTTTCATATGTTAGCAGAGTACATTTAAACTCCTCTTCTTCCATAATGCAGCTTTTTCTTTTTGTGATCCATGCGAAGGATCACAAAAAGAAAAAGCAGCCATACCAAAAGGACACTAAGCAGATTACTTGCATGCAATATCAGCCCTATATGCTGTAGGAGGCATAACACTTGAAATGTAACCCAAACAGGCAGATAAGCTATTTCATTCCACAGAAAGAAAATGGTTCCTTTCATCTAAATGAGCTTATTCCACTGCTGATACCAGAATAGTATGTATTTTGGGAGGATAATGTACCCCTATTTTTAAATCTGTGTTACATTAGCCAGAAAAAATAAACTATGGAAAGACAGAAGTGCAGAGGCTGGGAAGCAGAGTTGATTAATGTGCTGCCTGACTTCACTTCTGGGACCTGAAATTGCATTCAGTGCAGAATGAAGGAACTAGGGGGGAAAAAACCCAGTCTCATCTGACATCTATAAAGGTCATGAAGGAAATGATGGTGGGTGATCCAGAGCTGGTATGGCCACAGGTGTCTTGTCTTTTCAAAGACGTATATAGAAATATCCTTGGAATTAGCAATGCTGTTGGGCTTTTAGTTCTTGAAGCCCTCAAATGAATCAAAGGAAGGAAAAGTCTGGCAGAGCTGAATATGAGCTACCTGAGAATATTTTCATCTTAAATCCAAGCACCAGCCCTGCTCCTCTTCACTTTGGTAGCTAAAAGAAGACCATGAGGAGAGAGAGGAGTTCATGTGGTGGTTGTACCTTCCCTATGGCTGTGCCAGACAATGCTGCTCTTTTGCCAGGCAGCTGCCCTGGCTGGCATAGTGAAGGCAGCACAGATGCCACTCTGCCCTCCCAGTGTTTCAGACCGTGGAAAGACACAGGAACCATGGCCAGCAAACGTGGCCTCAAATCATGGGATCACCATAAAACGCCATGATTCTAGAGCCACACATTAAGTACAATAAAAAATACATTCTTCTAAATTATTCAGGTGTCAAAACAGCACCAGAATGTGCACATATTCCTTATGCCTCCTAAAGTTAGCTATTACTCCCAGTCTCCAAGTCTGATGACTCCATGCAAGCTGCGCAGAAGGAGCTTAAATTCTCAATTATTTTGGCTTCTTATATATAGTTCTGTCCTTAATTGAAATTTTCAGTCCAAAGCAAGCCATTTTAAACTTCGCAGTCTATAATTGTTAGTTAAAAAAGAGGCTTTTGTAAAAGCTCTGTTTAATTTGTTGCATTTTGATGTGAGGGTTGTTGCACATAGTTGAAAACACGGAGTGTAACATGACTCTTTTATTAACTGAGACAAAAATGGCAATTATGCAGTCTGTTGATTGAATTCCTTACTGACGAAGGGTACCTTCTGCTAATGGATAGAAAAGCAGAGCAGTCCAGTCAAACAAGTCACCTTGACAGTGGAATGTGAGACTCATCAATTTTACTCACAACTTCTTCAGTAATGAATCTTGGAGCACAACACACCAGCACTGCTCCTGAAAGACAACCACTGAGGTAGAGAAACCACAAAAAGTGGTTTGAAATGAAAAATGGGGTGAGAGATTTCCACCCCTTTAGAAGGGGAATTGGTTATGATGAATTTATCTCCAAGGTGCTTGGGCACTGCATTAAAAAGACTTGAACAGAAGAAAATACAGTCCTGCCATGTAGTTGGTGGCACCTTGCCTTTTTGTGCTGCAGCATCATGACAAGATAACCAGACCCCTGTCTTCATCTCCATCCTGGAATCCACTGACATTGTGGAGAATCAGAAGGATCAGGAACCATGGCAGTAAGAGAATTTTTTTCAGTTGGGATGTAATGGATTCCAGCCTGCAACCCCACACCACAGATAATTTGCTCAAGCCTCTGGGTGATTGTAGGGAAGAGCCAACTTTTTCCCAGTCCCCTCAGCAGGGGACATGAGGCACTCATGTCCAGCAGGAACAGAATGAGTTGTCATTAACTTTGGCTCCAGAATACAATTTTCTATTCTTTGATT